ATGGTGTGATTTACGAGATAACCAGCCTGAGTACCTCGTGCACCCCGCCAGCACTCGGTTTCCGCTGGAGGGAATATCTTCACTAGGTAGGTCGCATGTTCGGTCATGTTTTTTAAGGTAGCAAACACCACATGTTCGCTCACCGACGATCGTTGTCATGACTTCGGCAACTCCGACCCCGCTCGCGTCAACTTTAGTGGCAGCCCCAGTTACAGCTGGGCGACAACCGGTGCGACTGATTGCTGAGACAGAGCCCCACCGTGCAAAATTAAGGAGAGAATCAACCAAAGGGAAAGGACATGTAGTAAAGTATTAGCAAAAGTAACAAAAAAATACAATGCTAAGGAAATCTAAATAAAAGACTACCCAAGTCGGGAGGGGTATGTTGTTAGCCCGATAGTCCAAATGCTGACCTTAGTTGGGTGTCGTTGGTTTAACGAATAAGATCGAAGGGAGTCACATTCCATCGAGTGATGAGAGGGTCATAGTGGGGATTTTGTTTTGGTTCTTTACATTGGCCCGACTTCTCAAAAAACCAGATAGAAAGGAAGTATAGCACATTAAGTGGAGGTCGGACGAAGAAAAGATTTTCCTTCCAGTTCGGAACCTTGGTAGCAAGATCCTTTAAGAAAGAGGCGTTATTCCTATGGGAATGGTAAAAAAATTGATCCACAGGCTTAAGCCAAGGTAATTAAAATAAGAAATCGCGATCAAGAATCTACAAAAAATATCGACTCAAGATGATGAATCCCACCATGAAACGTATGGAGTTGGGGGTGAGATGGTTCAAGGGGCCCTGATAGAGCTGGGCTAGCTCTGCCAGATTTCTCCTTGAAGGAAACGTCAATCTGGTCGCGACCTAGTCCCAAAAGAAGGTGTAATAGCTAGATGATATAACACTCAGAAGTAGCTTGGTAGAACGATCTGAGCGGGCAACTTCACCAATTCCAAATTGGGAGAGCTCTCGTGCGTACAAAGTTAAGATGTTCAGTAATGTAGCTCGAAAGGCTTAAGGTGTTGAGCTCCCAGAAAAGACATGACCTAAGAGGTACCGGCCTCCAGGAGCTTGACAAAGTAACTGGCCTCGAGGTATCCGGGCGGCTGGTCTAAGGGCAGAATGGACCTAAGGATGAGGTCGGTCTAGAACTCAAGACAAGGTTAGGTACGCCCTCGGGAAGGCCATGGCAGACAGGTCAGGAGGTCGGATTCATGACTTAATGATCTATGGGCTAAAACAGTGAAAGG